GTTCGCAGGGAGGGTTGCCGTTTTGATCAAATTGATCTGATCGTCGAGAGTAGTGGAGAGTGTCTCGGTACTGATGTCCTCACTATACTTGAGTTGAGTGAGACTTGCAAACATGATCATGGCGTCGCGGGTGCCGGCTTCATGGCGCGCCATAAGAGCGGTCCAGAGATGGAAGGGAGAGGTGTGTGATCCGATGACTTGTTGGAGGATAGGCGTAAGGGAGTTGAAAAGAAATGCCTTAGCTTGGACGCGTAGGGAGGTGAGGGACTCCGCGATATACTCATCCAGAAACTTGCGCGAACGAAGTCTTGTTCGAGGCGTTTCAGTGTTGCAGGGCGCTGTTCCAATGCGTCACCAGCATAACCGTCGGTGGAGTACTTCGCATCATTGCGTATCTTGTCAACCTAGTGTTTGGCCAGGCTGATGGTGTAGGCGTCGGTTTCAATGCGTGTGGAGCAGTATGTCTCGTTGGTGTAGAGGGAGAAGAAGCATGCGGTCGCGGACGCTTCTTCGAACGTGGTGCGCCACGCAGCATAGAATTTGTAGGCATCGTCCAGGAGAATGCCGGAGTAGGCGGTAATGGTCGAAGCAGGAGGGCTCATAACCTGTCACGAAGCAAGAAACAGGAGGTAGGCGTAGGTCTTAGGCGTGTAGCAACTTTGCGCAGTGTCCAAGACAAACCAAGTGTGTGGGACAGAGGAAAACGAAAAGTGACATTCATTCGTTTACAAACATCTAGCTTCGTTCCTATTGCTAAAACTCAGGCAAAGGGAAACATTGACTTGTGAGAATCAGCGCACTTTTCCTTGTGCTAGAGCCGTGATTGGGTGAGCAATCACTAGGGTAGGGTTGCGACATGAAGAATACTAGTATACAGAACATGCAGGTATAAAGCGGCGACTGTATCGGCCTGTCAGAGTTGATAGACTAGGCGATAGAGTTTGGGAGAAGTAGGCCAGGACAAAAGGCGTGGTGAACACAGGCGAGGGAAAAGCACCACTTGACACCCTCGATGACCAAGTCTTACGCCAGGTCATGATAGCATATGTTTTGTGTGGTTATGCGTGTTGTTGGACAAGGATGCGATATTTGGAATGATGTAGCCTTGGCTTTCATTCCTGGTTCGACCTCGAACTGAGCTCAACCTTTTTTTGCGTGTTCAACCCCCCAGCCTATCGTATAAGGCCGAACCTTTCTGGTAGGCGTCAAAAACGTGAACTGTACAGCTGTCATAGATGTTGAACCTGAAGAGTAGTACGAACATTTCGTATGGAATCTCAGATGAGATGTGTGTTAGGGTTAAGTAAGCGTTGTTCACTCATACAGTATGTCAATGAGATGATTTATGTTTACTCATGAGGGGGAATCAGTTTATTGACACGACATGAATTTCTCGCAATGAGGCAGTTGAGCAAGTATTTC